GGGGGGGGGGCCCTGTCACACCGTGCCCAGCCTGAGGGGGGCCCTCTCACCCCTGTGCCCAGCGGGGGGCGAGGGGGGCGGGCCGCGAGCGTCCCTCCCACGAGCGGCGGGGACGGGGCGCCCTGGCGCACGGCCTCCGGGCACGCCCTCCCCGCGTTTGCCCGTGGGCCAGCGGCCACGTGTGGAGGGCAACGGGGAGCCCCGCAGTGCTCTGCGGCCTGGGCGCGCCCGGGGCGAGCGGTCGCGCCCTCGGGGCCAGGTTTCGGGGCTCCCGGGCCCTCCAGGCCACGGTGCGCACCGCGGGACCTGCGCCCCGAAATAGCCTGTTGTGGAGACGCGGGGGGTAAACACGCCCGCCGGGCTGAAAATACCCGCTCCCGAGCCTCGCTCATTTCCCTCCGGATTTGGGTGCCGGCTAAATTTGGAAGAGGTGGGCGAGCGGCCGGGCCGGCGGCGCCTGGGGGGGGTGCCGGCCTTCCGGCCGCGGGGCTCGCCCACGGGGGCGTGAGCGCTGCGGGGGAGGCGGGCAGCGGCTCGGCCCGCGGGCAGCGCCCCCCCACGACCTCGCACCCACGCGCTCGCCCCGCTGGTTCGGGACAGAGCCCCAGCCGTCGGGGCTGGTGCCACACCCGCCGTGGGAGGCGCCGGGCCCGCACCGCTGCGCCCTGGCCCGTGACTGGGCGTCGTGTCCACGCGGCCTGTGGCGCCGTCTGCCCGCCGCGCTCGGGCAGCGCCTTCCCCGCGGGGTGGGCGAGGGAACTGGACAGTTCCCGCCCGGGGCCGCCCTGGGCGCCTCAGAGTCCCCCCCCCCCTCCCGCCGTGCTCCCCGACCGGGAAAATCAAAAATTGGAAATTGCAGACGCGACGGGGTTAAACGTGTTGGTAACCGGATCCCACCCCGCGCGGCAGAAGCGTCGGTTTTTGTTTTGCTTTTCGCGGAAGCTGGAAGCCGGGGAGCAGCGGGGCCGCCGTGCTCGCGGCTGCCCGTGCTCCCCTCCCGGCGGTGTCCCCTCGGGGTTGCCCTCAGGGCCGGGTCCCCGTAGACGCCTCCGACTCTCCAGTGAGTCCCTACGGCCGAGCCACGCGGCCGCAGGATTAATCCAAATCACACAAATGCACATTAAAGCGGCCGGAGGGTGAGGACGGGCCGAGCCTGGGGCGCGTCGAGGGGCCAGGCGTGACCCCCGCACTGGAGGGTCGAGGAGGAAGGCGGGGACCTAGGGAGGTGGGGAGGTCGGGGGAGGGGCGGGGAGGCCAAGCTCTGGTTTAGCACTTCAAATCACTCCTCTCTCTCTCTCTCTCTCTCTCGCTCTCTCTCGCTCTCTCTCGCTCTCTCCCTCCCCCTCCTATGTCTCTCTCTCTCTCTCTCTCTCTCTCTCCTCCTCCCTCCCCCTCCTATGTCTGTGTCTCTGTCTCTGTCTCTCTCTCTCTCTCTCTCACACACACACACACACACACACACACACACACACACACACACACACGCACAGCTTTGGAAACTGAGCTCCGGTGGAGGACAGAGGACACACGGAAAGGAAACAGACAACTGCGTTTACTGGCTTCCCAGACAGCCTGCTGGTTTCTGCTGAAGCGACGGGGACGCGCCTGCACGTGCCCGACGTCCGAGCAGCCCGCGGTCGGGCCCCCGCCCGGCTGCAGGGCACCGCGTGGGTGAGGACGGGGCGGAGGCGGGAAGGCCGCGGGGAACCAGGCTCGGTCTCAAGCAAGCAGGACCGGGGGGCGTGGGTCACCGCGGCCCCCGCACCCCACCCCGCGGGCCTCACCTCCGCCCCGTCCTCGGTGGGGGGGGGCCGAGGCGGAGAGCCCGGGAGGCGCCTCCTTTGAGCTGGGCCGACACGTCGCCAGGAGGAAAGCGGCTTTGGAAGCTGGACGTGGCCATCCGTCCATTCTGCCAGCTGTTTCCCGCCCAGCAGCTGGACCTCCGGCGGCCTTCGAAGGCCGCTCTTCACAGCTCCATCCCAGTGGGGACGAGGGGTGCGAGAGCGAGACCTGGAGCTTAAGATGTTTAAACGTGTTGTTACTACACGCGGCCCGATGAGGAGAAGAATAAAACCCAAAGGACTCTCCAAGTGTGTTTCCCCACTCTTGAGAAAGGAAGGCAATCTCGTAGCTCTGGCCTTAAAAACCATAGCATAATTGCGTACGGTCTTTCCTGGCTTATTTTACAGAACACAAACCTTTTATAGTAAAATTTACTTAAATAAAAATAATTATTATTTTATCTGTCAGCGAAATATGTTTTGAGTTATAATAATCTTTTACCATTTTAAACGCTGAAAAGGAGCTGTTAACTGTAATTTTCTTAACCGCTCTTGCCCAAGCACTGATCTTTCTCTCCCTCTTTCTCTCCCTCCCTCCTCCTATTTTTATGTAATATGATGTAAGTTTTCTTCACACTGCTTCCTCCTTTTCTTTGTGCATGTGTGCGCGGTGCTGGAGATGAACCAGGCTTTGTGCCCCCATTTCAAACTTTTTCTTTAGGATTTTTTTTTTTTTTTTTAAGAATGGCATTTTTAAGTCCACTAGTGAATATCTCAGTGCTCCCTGATACGTACTGGAAGTGTTTTAGGTAGACTTTTGTGTGAAACATAAGCCAAAGAATTAAATCAATAAATAGCTAAAGGACTGGAAGGGGCCACTGTAGATCTGGTGGGGAGCAGGACCACCCCTACCACTGGACTGGGGGAGGGGCATAGGAGGAGAAGAGGGAGGGAGGGCGGGATTGGGAGGAGATGAGGGAGGGGGCCACAGCTGGGATACAAAGTGAAAAAACTGTAACTAATAAAAAAATGCGTGTTTGTTGAACAGTGGCCACCCTGTCACATTACTGTGTTGTTCTCTGGTATTTAAAAAAAAAATCCCATTTGATTTTTGTCTCTGGATGAATCATCTCAGTGAGTAAAGCGGGAAAGAAGATGAAGTGCATGTTTTTTTCCTAAAATATTTAAAAAGAAAATAAACACAAAGTGGTAATTGTGTGAAGCCTGAACTTGGAAGTCAGATTAAAAAAATTCCCTCGAGCAAAGGGGGAAAGGTGCTGGTGACTGCAGCCCCTCAGAAATGAACAGCTGTATAGTTAAAATAAAAACCCGTCCTTTATGAGTAGCAACCAATCAAAATAATAGTCAAATGATGACATCAGCCAGAGCATGATTTGAGGGCATCACTCGTGGCCAGTGAGAAGCTGGAGAGTAAGTTACAAGGAAACTCAGCAAGGAACAGGTTAAAATACCACGGCCAAAAGACCTTCCCCCCCAAACAGTTTTCACTGTACCCCCCCACCCCACCCACCCCCATGTGTGAGAGAGACAAATACCAGGACTCACTGAACTCTCCCACCCCTCTCCCTTGACCCCTTGGTCCTTGTGATATAAAGTCAACTCTTATTTGCTTCTTATTAGCCTTACAAACCTTAACATTAGTTTATCTAACAGACCCCTGCCCACCCATTTTTTTCTGAGTCAAATCTTTACCATGTAGCCTGGGCTGGACCCTGCTAGGTAGATAAGGCTGTCTTCAAACCTGTGCTAACCCTCCAGCAGTCAGGGCTGTGTTACAGGGTGAGTCACCCCGGTGGACCCAACCCCTCAGAGACGAGTCTTCCTCTGACAGCCCTTCTGCGCCTGGCCTGCTTACATCGCAATTGTGTGTAAGAAATGGTATCACTGAAACGTAAATGTTTACAAGACAGACTTCCCACATCTGAAGAGCTGCTGGTGTCCAGGGTTCACATGTGAGAATGGTTCCTGAGAAGAGAGAGAGTAAATAACCCATCACAGTGTGTGTGGGCTGAACGCGGTGACTCTCACAGACCCAGCGTGAGCTCTCACGGAAAAAAAGAGGCAATTTTATTTAGTGAATGGAAAAAGTAACGAAAAAATGCATTTATTTTTCTTCTTGGTTTTCATCACTTCTTCCAGGATGTTTGGTGAAACATTCTATTCTAGATGGAAGAGTCTATGTATCATAGCTTTTTTTTTTAAAAAATTACTCACCAAACCCCAGCTCTCTGGGAGGACTGTCCATTATCAGGAGGGAGGTGTGCGCAGGGGGGTCTGGGAGCTTGAGGGCGCTGCTGCTGCTCAGCCCTGGAGACTCTCCTTCCAAGGGGAGTCCTGGAGCACGGGTGCAGCCTGCTCCCTGTCCCCTCGCCTCGGGAAGAGGAGGGTGCTGGGTTCCCCGAGCAAGGAATCTAGCGATTTCTGTTTTGTGGCTCTCTTCCCAAGAAGTGGTCTAATGAGTCCAGGTGTGTGTGCTGGCACACTTGTGGAACACAGAGATATGCGTCTTTACGCTTTTCTAGATCAGTTAAAAAATTGAAATGACTTATTTAGGTCCAACAGATTCTGTTGACTCAAAAACCCCATCTCTTTGCACCAGAGTGGAAGAGCTCTGAGCTCAAAGCCACATGGCTCTCGCGGGCTTGAGAGGGATGAGAAGGGACCTGAGAAGGAAGGAGATAAATTCTTTCCTCCTCTCTTACAAAGACCCCGCGCATCACCCCAGCAGAGCAGGCTGATTTGCTCTACTCTCACCAGAAGGTCAGAAAATAAGAGCACTAAAGTCCCTGAACTGCGTTTTGTTCTGTGTCCTTAGCTTTACAGAAGCTTTTCAGTTCCGTGAGGTCCCATTAATTGATTGTTGATCTTAGAGCCTGAGCTGCTGGTGTTCTGTTCAGGAAGTTGTCTCCTGTGCCAATGAATTCAACAGGCTTAGTGTGTCTGGTTTTATGTTGAGGTCTTTGATCCACTTGGACTTTAGTTTTGTGCAGGGTGATATATATGGATCTATCTGCATTTTTCCACATGTAGATATACAGTTAGACCAGCACCATTTGTTGGAGATGCTGTCTTTTTTTTTTTTTTTCCATTGTATGGTTTTGGCTTCTTTGTCAAAAATCAAGTGTCCACAGGTGTGTGGGTTTATTTCTGGATCTTCTATTCGGTTCTATCGATCCACTACCCTGTTTCTATGTCAGTACCATGCAGTTTTTATTACACTTGCTCTAAAGTACAGCTTGAGATCAGGGATGGAGATACCTCCAGATAATGTTGTACAGGATTATTTTAGCAATTTTGGGTTTTTTTTTTTCCACATAAGGTTGAGAATTGTTCTTTCCAGGTCTGTAAAGAATTGTGTTGGTGTTTTGATGGGAATTGCATTGGATCTGTAGATTGCTTTTGGCAGGATGGCCATTTTCACTATGTTAATCCTACCCATCCATGAGCACGGGAGATCTTTCTATCTGATGTCTTCTTCAATTTCTTTCTTCAGAGACTTGAAGTTTTTTTCATACAAGTCTTTCACTTGCTTGGTTAGAGTCACACCAAAGTACAGTATGCTATTAGTGGCTATTGTGAAGGGTGTTGTT